GCAGTGGCGCAATCTCGGCTCACTGCAAGCTCCGCCTCGGTATGGGATATTTGATCAGCAAAATTAACTAGCTCATGAGTTTGAGAGGCAGTCCAACTGGGGCATTATCTCTTTGTTACAAACGCCAGTTCTTCATCTGATCCATTTACTAAGTTTTAGTTAAGGAGAACATCATTTTGGTAAGTTAGCATACATTTATTCTGATAGGTCTGAATATCGTTTAAATGTTGTTGTTTTTTTTTTTCACACTCTCATAGTATAACATTACAAGCTCATCAAGATTTTGATGGTATTGTTATATTTTGTTCCAATTAACTACTTTTGGAAAATGAAGGGGATAGGATTTAGCAAAGCTTTGGCAGTATTGCAGGCCCATTCATGATCTGCTTCAGAAAATTTATGGAAGTCCTTTAAACAATTTCTCCAATTTGCCTTTGCTATCTAATCTTTGGCTTTACTTTCTGACACTAACATGTGAATCACTTGGTATAAACCAGAGAATCTGGGATTATAAGCTCAAACATTTAAATCACATTTTCTAGCAAATTCAGTGCGGTCCTGAAGAGGATCTGGGAATTTTTAAATTATGCCTTTAAGTTCTACTTTTGACCATGGTTGATATATCAAGTCAGGTTCTCCTCTAATGGACACAAGGTATTTCCAAAATGGAGCCAGAACAGCAGAAGGAGGAAGAAGAGGAAGAGGAGGTAAATCTGGACAAGGAAGTTCTGTCAAAAGAGAAGGAGGACGCCAGCTCATACCTGTAATCCCAGCACTTTGGGAGGCCAAGGCAGGTAGTTCACTTGAAGCCAGGAGTTTGAGACCAGCCTGGACAACATGGCGAAACCCTGTCTCTACTAAAAAATACAAAAATTAGTAGAGCATGACGCATGCCTGTAATCCCAGCTACTCGGGAGGCTGAGGCAGGAGATGTGATTCAGCCTGAGGGTGGGGGTGTGTGTGTGGAGGTTGTAGTGAGCCGAGATCACACCACTGCACTCCAGCCTGGGTGACAGAATGAGACTCCATCTCAAAAAAAAAAAAAAAAAAAAAAAGAGAAACAGAAGCTGCAGGGGGGGAAAAATTTTAGCAGTATTTTTAAATTCAGAAATAGTTTTGTACTTTTCTCTTACTCTTGCAGAGAATTGGCTTTATCACAACCTCTTTTAGAGGTTTCTAAGTACCATTGAAAATAGCTCCCAGTTATTTTCTTTTCTTTTAGAGCCGACTTTTACTAATGGATCATGCAGATAGACTAGTTTAGGTGTTTCAAAAGTACCCCATTTTGGCCATTGTAACTTGGGGTCATTTTGAGTAATATGAGATCCATTTTTCTAGATATTTGCATGAGGAGGTGCTGTGAGTATTAAACATAATCCAGCTGGTGTTTCTAGTGGTGGAGCTCTACTTCAGGAGGAAGACTCAGTTATAGAAGTAAGGTTGCCCATAACTAAGACTTTCCTTTTGAATGGCCAAAAAGCTCTAGCAGGAGGAATTTTGATCACTCAAGAAGAAAAGTTTAATTTTGTCACTTGAACTGAGCTTCACAATCTGGCCAGTTTTAAAGATTTTCTTTTTTCAGTGATAAACTGGTATCTTCCTGACCAAAATTCTGAATGAGAGGGAAGTTTGAAAAGCTCTAAGGTGTAATTCAAGTAAGACCTTAATATCAGAGAAAAAGTGAAACTTACAAATCTGTGATCACCAAAATCACTAAAGAACAACAAATGAAACTCCTACCGAACAGTAGAGTTTCCATTTCAGCCCTATCAATTTAGGAATGTGTATAGGCTCAAATAATGTCTCAATCCTCAAGCAAGCCAGGAAGATTCAAACTTGAGAGGGGCCTTTTCGGGGATCATTGTTGACTCCAGAAGGTTGGATAAACTACTGGCACCAGGTCTCCAGTTGTCAGTGAAGTGACAGTGATCACTGGAGGTCTGCTTCAGGTCCCGTTTGGGTCACCAAAATGTCAACCTTAAGTAATGAGATACAGAAAATATGATTAAGCATAGAGTTTATTTGAGCTCAGAGTTTGAAGATGGCCACCCAAAAGCATAGATTCAAGTTTCCCTGAATACACACTTCTATTTGCTGTAATTACAAGTAGTTTAAACATTAAAAAAAAATAATTAGAGACAGGGTCTTGCTGGGCCTGAACTCCTGGCCTCAAGCAATCCTCCTGACTCAGCTTCCCAAAGTGTTGGGATTTTAAGCATGAGCCACTGCACCCAGCCTTACCAGTGGGTTTTAAAGGAAAAAAATAAAAAAGACGCAATTCCTAAATTGTTTACCAAGATTTTACATTAAAATGACTTAAGTTATTGATTGGCTACACATTGTTTTTTGTATCACAAATGTCAGGAACATGAAGGTAATGGGCGAGGCAGCTAGTCAAGAACAAAATGCCTTTAAACAATTGACTGGGTGCAGGAGCCATGACTGAAGCTCTATACTCATGTCTCTCTGGGCCTGATACATTTTGCACACCTCACATAGATCAGATCGCTCTGAGCTATTTCTCTTTTTCTCAGGGATAATAGTATTTTTCTCATAGGGGTTTCATAAAGATTAAATAAGAAATAGCAAATTGCATATAGTGTCTAGTACAGAGTAAGTATTCAATAACAGTTATGATGAAATGATTGCAGTAATTGAGAAAAGAAAGGAGAAATAGGAGAGAGGAGTAAAATTCCTTAAGAAGGTAAAGATGTATGCCCTCCTAAGCGCAGGTAGTGGAATTAACTCTGCATTCACCAGGGAATAGGAAACTTTTCCCTTCACCCTTTAGGGTTCACTGAAAACTGACAAAAGGCAGATTCATAGGAGAAAAGGCATACACAATTTTATTTTCATGTGAATAGCATGGGGGAATCATAGAATGGTGACCCAACAATGCACTATTATACAGAAGCTTATGTACCTGTTTTCAGAGGGGAGAGATGTACTGACTTGGGAGGTAGGAGGCAGAGGATATAGAAAGGCGAAGGACAGGTCGGGCATGGTGGCTCACGCCTGTAATCCCAGCACTTTGGGAGGCCGAGGTGGGCGGATCACCTGAAGTCAGGCGTTTGAGACCAGCCTGGCCAACAGGGTGAAACCCTGACTCTACTCAAAATACAAAAATTAGCTGGGTATGGTGGTGGGCGTCTGTAATCCCACCTACTCAGGAGGCTGAGGCAAGAGAATCGCTTGAACCCAGGAGGTGGAGGTTGCAATGAACCGAGATCACACCACTGCACTCCAGCCTGGGCAACAGAGCGAGACTCCATCTCAAAAAAAGAACCAGAGCTGCACAGAAACAAAGTCTGTCTTATTGTGTAGATAAAGTCCCTGGGAAATCTCTCGGTGCTGCTCTCAGAAGAACAGATGAAAAGTCTGTCTGGGTGTGGGGATGACCCCCAGTCTCTTCTCTTCTCCGGTGGTTGATCTTTCCTGGTTATTTGATGAGATTCCTAGGGAGGGAGTCTTAAGACAATTGCATTCAAACTTTCTTCTTCAGATAAGAAATTCCAGAAAGAGTCTTTCTTATTTATTTATTTTTATTTTTTTAAGACGGAGTCTCCCTCCGTTGCCTAGGCTGGAGTGCAGTAGCAGGATCTTGGCTCATTGCAATCTCCCTCTCCTGGGTTCAAGCGATTCTCCTGCCTCAGCCTCCCGAGTTCTGGGATTACAGGCACCCACCACCACCACGTCTGGCTAATTTTGGTATTTTTAGTAGAGACAGGGTTTCACCATATTGGCCAGGCTGGTCTCGAACTCCTGACCTCAGGTGAGCCGCCCACCTAGGCCTCCTAAAGTGTTGGGATTACAGGTGCGAGCCACCATGCCTGGCCAAGAGTCTTTCTTAGGGTGCTTCTGGAAACAGGATCAGAGAGACAGGAAAGTGGGAGAAAGGGCATAGTGAAAGACCTTTCTTCTCAGGCTTATTTTTGAGGATTTTCAAAAGCACTCAGCATGGCTATATTTGGGGAATCATTTATGTGCCCCAATACAGGGAAGAAAAGGGAGAAACACACTAGATATGGATTTTTTTTTTTTTTTAATTTTTATTTTTTGAGATGGGGTCTTACTTTGTCACCCAGGCTGGAGTGCAGTGGCACAATCATGGCTCACTGCAGCCTTGACTTCCTGGGCTCAAGTGATCCTCCCACCTCAGCCTCCCAAGTAGCTGAGACCACAGGTGTGCACCACCACATCTGGCTAAATTATTTTTATTTTTTTGTAGAGATGGGGTCTCCTTATATTGCCCATGCTGGTCTCAAACTCCTGGGCTCAAGTGTTCCTCCTGCTTTGGCCTCCAAAGTGTTGGGATTACAGGCATGAGCCACTGCACCTGGCCTAGATCTAGAATCTAAAGCACTTGGCAACTTGAGAATAAGAAAGAGCAGTCAAAGTTGATTTTAAAATTTTGAGGCAAGCTGGGTGTGGTTGCACCTGAGTAGTTGGAACCTATAATTCCAGCTATTCAAGACAGCACCTTGAGTAGGTGGAACCTGTAGTAATTCCAGCTGCTCAAGAGTCTGGAATATCTATATTCCAGATAAGAAATTCCAGAAAGAGCCTTTCTTATTTATTTATATTTTTTGATTTATTTATTTTTATTTTATATGTATATATATTTGATGCTAACTACAAGAGTGGTGTCAACAAAAACAGAGAAGTAGTTTTCTCCATTTTTTTGGACTACTTTGATGGGAAGATAATAAATTTTATTTCAACTGTTAAAGTAGGAAATGTTTATAAGACATCCAGACGGAGATATTAAACAATGAGAATGAAGGCCAGAAAAGATCAAAAAAGGACTTGAAACTGGAGACAGATTTGAAATCATCTACTTGGTGTTAATAATGACACTGTGGGAGCAAGAGAATTTATTAATTTTGTATTGCTAGTGTATTCTGTACATGCTGGTCTTGCACATAGTAGGTGTTCAATGAACATGTTTTATTGTTGTCGTTGAAAAAGAAAACAGAATTATCTAGATAATCTACATTTAGGAGAAGAACGAGGACTTGATTGAGGACCCAAAGGATGACTAAGAAGAGGTGCAGGAGAAAACCCAGAATTCTGCAGTGTCTTGGCGATGCAAGTGTCAGAGGCATTTGAACCAGAGCTACTCGATCTTGAGTGAGGGCTAAGAAAAGTGAGGCTGGGACTTGCTGGGCTGCATTCCCAGGAGGGTAGGTATTCCTAGCCGCTACATTAACGGAACAGATTAATAACATTTACTAAACAGACCCAGACTCAGGAATGTCCTGATATCTTGAAAACAAAAGCACTCCTAATTTTGCTTTAAAGATAAATAATATCGATTCTTGCAAAATACAGTAATTAAGAAAATTAATTTTTTATATCACAAACCGTTGTAGCAGAGCAAATCTCCCCATGTTATTTGTTGTTGTTGTTGTTGTTGTTGTTATCCTATATATAAATAAGCATTGTACCTAGGGGTGGGCGCGTTCCTCCTCTTACTTTCAGAAACGCTCTACTCTGTCTATAGAGTAGCTATTCTTTCACCACTTTACTTCCTTAATAAACTTGCTTTTGCTTTGCACTGTGGACTGGCCCCAAATTCTTTCTTCAGTGAGATCCAAGAACCCTCTCCTGGGGTCTGGATCAGGAGCCCTTTCTGGTAACATAAGGAAGAGAAATTCACGAAGGAGAGGGTGGTCTACAGTGTGAAATGCCAATGAGAGATTAAGGACCCTGCGGACTGAGAAACTTTTTGGAATTGGCAAATTCTTAAAAATATAAGCTCCATGAGGGCAGATGTTTGTTTAGAGGCAGGATCTTACTTATTGCCCAGATTGGAGGGCAGTGGCTATTCACAGGCACAATCACAGTGCACTGCAGCCTCAAATCCCTAGGCTCAAGTGATGCTCTTGTCTCAGCCTCACAAGTAGCTGGAACTACAGACACGTGCCTGGGCTTCCGCTGAGAGCAGATATTTTTGACTGTTAGCAGACTGCCTGTAACATTGTAGGTGCTCAACAATAAATACTGTGAACAAAAATTCTCTGAAAAGGAATTTAGAAGAAAGAGAGTATTCCAATGAACAGTTTGCAAATTGGGGAGACACAGCCTTTGGCACAAAAGGAAGGTACATTCCAGAGAACAAAGGGAGGGATTGTTTTTATACAGAAAGTACCTACCCAGGTTCCCATGCTCCTCCATTTATGCAAATGAAGGATGCAAACTTGCTTAGTTCTGATTAGTTGATGTTTGCTGAGTTTTGGTTGCTTGACACAGGTTACAGCTTATTGGTTGGTTCTGGAGTATAAACAGGAACTGGCAGCTATGAAAGCTGAAAAGTTAAGCAAAAGCCTGTAAGGAACTCAGAGTACATGTGTGATCTCTAATCAGCAAATGGCCAATTGGCTCTATTTTCAATTCAGGCCCAGTTAGACACTAAGGATTTATCTTGAAGGATTGGCTTTTTCAGGTTTCACAACGCAGAACAAATGAACTGATGATATTTCAGAAAACACTTTCAGAAAACTGTTGGGCACAGAAGCCAAATCTTAAGGAATAAATAGAGTTGCCACTTTCCTAAAAAATACCCTACTATTTCTCATCTGTTTTCCCCATGTAGTCAGAGTGATTTAATGCAGTTGTGTAATAATGGCTCACTGCAGCCTCGACCTCCCGGGCTCAAACTATTATCCCACCTCAGCCTCTTAAGTAGCTGGGACTACAGGCATATACCACTATGTCTGGCTAATTTTTAAATTTTTTTGTAGAGACAGGGTCTCACTATGTTGCCCAGGTTGTTTTTGAACTCCTGTGCTCAAGTGATCCTCCTGCCTTGGTTTCCCAAGGAGTTGGGATTATGGCTGTGAGCCACTGTGCCTGGCCAGAATGACTTTAAAAAAATTAAATCATCAGATCATGTAACTTGCCTTCTGAAAATGTTTCAGTGGATTCCCATTGAACTTAAGATTTTAAAAAAACAAAACAAATCCACATTGCCTGAGATCACGAACTCTGCACAACCTGGCCTATATTTTCAACTGCACTGCATACCACTTTACTTCTCCTGCACTACATTCCAGCCACGACCTTTAACCAGAGAAGAGAGACAAAGTCTCACCTCTCCCTTCTATTCCTTCGTCATACCAATCGTCTTCCTGTATTAGGACATTTGCATATGGTTCCCTTTGTTTAGAATATGCCATCCTATGACACGTGGTCCCCCACCAGGATCTCCCAGCCAAACTTCCTTCTCATCCTCAGGTTTCTGTTCAATTGTCATTATCACTTCCCCAAAGGGTTCTCATTCCTGTGTACTTGGTTTAAAGTTGTCCTTCCCTCAGCCCCCATTGCTCTCAAATGACCTTGCTTTGTTTCCCTCATAGGACGTGCTTTATGTCCCTCATAGGACTTCATACAGTTTGGAATTACCTTGTCTATTTGTTCATGCATTTATAACCTGTCTCCTCCCACTAGGATATAAACTACGTAAAGAGAGAGAACATGCAAACTGGGAGGAGAGTAACTGATGAATAAAATTTGAGGAAAAGCAAAAAGGGATGAGATGAAGAACTCAAAGGGAGGAATGAGAGTACCTTTCTCAGAAAGAAGCGCCAAGAACATGGAAGAGAGCAGAAACATCGGGGAGTCTGAGGTGGAACACGCTGTGTAACCTGACAAGTTATTTTCCCATCAGCCTTTAATTACATAGTTAAATTGGCTGTGAGAATAGCAGCAAACTATTTGATTTTAGGTTGCCAGCTGGCTCTGGAAGACATGCATGTGTATGGGGTGGAGAAAATCCTTTTCCAGATTCTTTTTTCCTTGTCTTTACTAGGCTGAACAAGAAGAATCAGTGGCCATGTTATATATGTAAAATGGGCTTTGGGAACTGCAAAGGTCTTTACAGATGTGGTTACTGTTATTTTACTTTGTGCATGATTCTAAAGGAGGTATGCACCGACTGAAGCGCCAGGAAGGAGCATCTGGGTGGACGTCCATGATGGCTCCAAAGGGACTTCAGCATTTTTCCTGAGAGACAGTGAGTTCAGATTTACACAGTATTTGTTTTTTATCACAGGCTTTGAAATGACTACGCATTAAATTCACATAACCCTGCTGTGAAACACATTATAATAATGTTATTATAACCCCATTTTCTGTTGAAAGATAGGAATAAGATTTGTTCCAGACTAAACAGGAAGTCAGTAATAAGATTAAAGTTACTGGTTAATCTAGGCTTTCTGATTGTGCATACATTACATCTTTTAAACACATAAGGTTCAGGATGACAACTACCAGCAGCATGATTGGTGTTCCTTTCTATTCCCTCCCTCTCCCCTTACCCCCACAGTAGTGTAGACCACCAAGGTGATATGGTTTGGATTCGTGCCCCCCCACCTCAATCTCATGTTGAATTGTAACCCCCAGTGTTGGAGGAGGGGCCTGGTAGGAGGTGACTGGATCATGGGGACAGATTTTCCCCTTGCTGTTCTCATGATGATAAGTTCTTACAATCTGATTGTTTAAAAGTGTGTAGCACCGCTGGGCATGGTGACTCATGCCTGTAATCCCAGCACTTTGGGAGGCTGAGGCAGGTGGATCACGAGGTCAGGAGTTTGAGACCAGCCTGGCCAACATGGTGAAACCCCGTCTCTACTAAAAATACAAAACTTAGCTGGGCGTGGTGGTGCATGCCTGTAGTCTCAGCTACTCAGGAGGCTGAGGCAGGAGGATTGCTTGAACCCAGGAGGTGGAGGTTGCAGTGACTGAGATCATGCCACTGCACTACAGCCTGGGTGACAGAGTGAGGCTCCATCTCAAAAAAGAAAAAAAAAAGTGTGTAGCACCTCCTTCTTTACTCTCTTCCTCCTGCTCCAGCCATGTAGGGCGTGCCTGCTTCCCGTCTGCCTTCCACCATGATTGTAAGTTTCCTGAGGCCTCCTCAGCCATGCTTCCTGTATAGCCTGTAGAACTGTGAGTCAATTAAACTTATTTTCTTTATAATTTACCCAGTCTCAGGTAATTTTTTTATAGCAATGTGAGAACAGACTAATACAAAAGGCATGTGTGTATGATATGTGAAAGACAGATGAAGAAAATATTAAATATGAGTATTTATAACTATATATAACTATAGTTTATGACTAGTAGCAAACTAGTGCTGCTTTCTAGTATTTGGGATTGCAGATTTTCTTTGCGTGACTGTGCTTCCCTGGGAGATGCTGGCACAGAGCTGTGTGTCATGGGAAGGGGAAGTTGGCAGTGGGTAGGCGCTGCAGAGTGCTCATGAAGAACCTTCCTCGGCTGCTGATTTAGAGGTTGGGGAGAGCAATGGTGAATGAGGATGACAATTTAGCTGTTACCACAGAGAGTGAAGATAGTTAATGATTTGTAGTAAATAAGGCTGGAAGAGGCCCACAGGAAACTTTCATAAAAGACAAACATTCCTTGTCTTTAAAATATTTACAGTTGGTACTATGCTTTTCTTCCCTTCTCTTGTATATTTCTTTAAAAAATCTAATTTGTCATTTTGAAATAGGTCTAGAAAAGTCGATGTCCTATGAGGGTCAAGTGAGGGCTTGACTGAAGCACTGAAGGTTTGGCTCTTCCCATGAGTAACCCTTTACTTCCGATGATGTAGATAAATGACAATATAGATAAATTAGGAGCCAAAGGGTTTTCAGGAATTAGTAATGCTGTGGTAAGCAAACTGTGGGTAGAATTGTGGTAGTGTTTGTTGCCTATGAGGGTGCTGAGAGGAGGCACTTCTGTGTGCCTGCTCAGTTCTCTGGGTGGGGGACTGCCACTAGTTCAGGTACAACTCAGGCAAGCTCCCAAAGCAGCTATACTTGCCTACCTCCTAACAGCTTGGGCAGCTTGGGAGCTCTGCAGAGTACACATAGGCCCTTGGACCCCCACTTTTATTTATTTTTTTCTTTCAATTTTCTATTTTAGGCTCAAGGGGTACATGTGCAGGTTTGTTACAGGGGTAAATTGCATGCTGTGGGGGTTTGGTGTACAGATAGTCTTGTCACCCAGGTAATCAGCATAATACCCTATAGGCAGTTTTTTAATCTTCGCCCTCCTCCTACTCTCCACCCTCAAGTAGGTCTCAGTGTCTATTGTTCCCTTCTTTGTATCCATGGGTACTCAGTATTTATAATTTCACCTGTAAGTGAAAACGTGGTATTTGATTTTCTGTTCCTGCACTAATTCATTTTGGATAATGGCCTCCAGCTCTATCTGTGTTGCTGCAAAGGGCATGGTCTCACTCTTTTTTGTGGCTGTGTAGTATTCCATGGTGTATATGTACCACATTTTCTTTATCCAGTCCACCACTGATGGGCATCTAGGTTACTTCCATGTCTCTGTTATTGTGAATAGTGCTGTGATGAACATGAGTCTTTTTTTTTTTTTTTTTTTTTTGAGGCAGGAGTCTCTCTCTGTTGCCCAGGCTGGAGTGCAGTGGCATGATCTTGGCTCACTGCAACCTGACTCCCAGGCCCAGTTGATCCTACCACCTCAGCATCCCAAGTAGCTGGGACTACAGGCACTTGCCACCATGCCCAGCTAGTGGTGTGTGTGTGTGTGTGTGTGTGTGTGTGTGTGTGATGTTGCCCCGGCTGGTCTCCAACTCCTGAGCTCAGGGTGATCCACCTGCCTCAGCCTCCCTAAGTGCTGGGATTACAGATGAGTCACTGAGCCTGGCCATCTGTGCATGTGTCTTTATGGTAGAACGATTTATATTCCTTTGGGTATATACCCAGCAATGGAATTGCTGTGGACCCCCAATTTTAATGACAGTACTTTCCCTATTTTAAAAGACTCCTATGATCCTGTGTGAAATGCAGGAGATTGAAAGAAAAAAAAAGACTCCTATGATTCTTTCTTTCATCTCCAACCAACTTAAGCTAGAAAGAAGGAAAATCAAATAGGCAGGCATGGTGGCTCACGCCTGTAATCCCAGCACTTTGGAAGGCCGAGGTGGGCAGATCACCTGAGGTCGGGAGATTGAGACCAGCCTGACCAACATGGAGAAACCACGTCTCTACCAAAAATACACAATTAGCCGGGTGTGATGGTGCATGCCTGTAATCCCTGCTACTCGGGAGGCTGAGGCAGGAGAATCGCTTGAACCTGGGAGGCGGAGGTTGCAGCGAGCTGAGATGGAGTCATTGCATTCCAGCCTGGGCAACAAGAGGGAAACACTGTCTCGAAAGAAAAGAAAGAAAGAAGAAAGAAAAGAAAGAAAAGAAAGAAAAGAAAGAAAAGGAGAGAAAGAAAGAAAGAAAGAAAGAAAGAAAGAAAGAAAGAAAGAAAGAAAGAAAGAAATTAAAAAAGGGCAGCCCAGTTCTGATTACAGCCCACTAAATGCAGTTACTCATCAACTACTTTATAGTCTCAGAAATATGCACCCATTAAGATTCAGCACATGTATAAATAAGCTTATGTACCTAATGTTTACACACACTTTAATACTAACCCTACACTGTATGTATGGTTTATTCTTTGCCACCCTTGTATCTTTCCAGACTCACACATTACCATCAATATGCTGCCTTTTATTTGTTGTAGAAAGTACCCCAGAGTTGGAAGATCCTGGATTTGAAGCCTGTTTCTCCCATTATTATACGGCTTGTAGGAAGGGGAACTATCTGAAGAGAAAGGGTAGCTTTCTCTGGTCTCAGGTCTCAGAAGACCAGTGGCCTTATAAAACCGTAATTCCGGCCAGGCGTGGTGGCTCACGCCTGTAATCCCAGCACTTTGGCAGGTTGAGGCAGGCAGATCATGAGGTCAAGAGATCAAGACCATTCTGGCCAACATAGTGAAACCTTGTCTCTAGTAAAAATACAAAATTAGCTGGGCGCGATGGTGCATGCCTGTAATCCCAGCCACTTGGGAAGCTGAGGCAGGAGAATCTTTGAACCCGGGAGGCAGAGGTTGCAGTGAGTCGAGATAGCGCCACTGCACTCCAGCCTGGGCTACAAGAGCGATACTCCATCTCAAAACCAACCAACCAAACAAACAAAAACAAAGATTGTAAATATTTGTTTGGTTTGCACTGAAAAGAGAAGGCTTCTCCTTAGAGTCTGAATCAAGGAGGAAAAGGAAGGAAAACAAGTTCATCTTACATCAAAAGTCTACTTTGTGTCGGACACTCAAATTCCTAAATGGGGAGAAATGCAAAAAACTGACTCTTCAGAGTCATAACTAACATTATTTTGGGCCACAAGCTTATCAGGAGTGCAATACAAGTCAGTGTCTTCTCTTTTCTACTTAAAGAAAATTCTCATTTTTATTTATTATTACTTTATTGCAAGGAGAAGCAGACAATAAGTAGGAGTCTTATGAGGGGCTCTGATACATAGGAGCAATGGCGAATGAGGGTGGTGACTCACCACGCCATGGGACTCCAACGTTTCGGTGACAGCTCGCCAGAGCCCCAGGGGGCGCCGAGATTGCGGCGAGGGTAGCCGCAGCCCAAGGCAAATCCACGCAGTTGGTCCCCGCCACGCCCCCGTAGTCACCCGCAGCCCCTCGCCGCAGGGCGCTTCGCGCATGCGCACGGGGTCGGGCTCGGGAGGCGGACCCTGGCTGCCATCTTGCAGCGCGCGGGAACCGCCGCCGCCGCTGGCCAAAAAGCGGAGCCCGGCGAAAGCGTGTCCTGCTCAGACAGCCTTCCTTCTCCACTGCCACCGTGCCGAACAGCCAGGCTGCCCAACTGCAACTGTAGGCCAATGAACTAATCCATCGCCCGCAGACCGACTCTCAGCAGCAGTTCGTCCCGGTGCCCACCCCCGCGAAACGGAGCGCCCGGGCACCTAGCCTCCCCGCCGGCCACGATGCCGAACGTGCTGCTGCCGCCCAAGGAGAGCAACCTCTTCAAACGCATCTTGGTGAGTGACCATAGGCCGCACTGCCGTCCCCCAGTCTCCGGGTCCTCGGGCCTTAAGGGCAAGCGGTCTGGTGGCGGCCGGCGCAGGCCGGGCTTGGCCTCCGCTGCCCACCGCTCTTTGTTTACCTCGGAGCTCGCGGGAC